GCCATAATCAAGATAAATCTACACCTAGACACATAATAATCAAGATCCTAGGGATTTAGCAACAGAGCAGAATATTAAGAGCTGTTAGAGAGAGGAACCAGATCACCCATAATGGAAAGTGCATCAGAATCAAAGCATATTTTTCAACACAAACCATCAAATAAAGAGCTTGGAGTCAAGTATTTCAGGTCCTGAAAGAAAACAACTTCCAACCCAGATTGATATACTCTACAAAACTACCTATCAAATTCAATGGCAAGATAAGATTCTTTCATGACAAAGTACAACTGAAGAAATTCATGATCACCAAACTAACCCTACAAAGAGTACTGACAGATGTTCTAGAAAGAGACAGTCTGTAGAGGTCACAACAGATTTGTGCTGGTTTGTTTTTTCCAAGCCTTGTAGGCAAAATTGGTCTCTCCCCAAACACCTCTGAGGGTGGCGACTGACCACTTTGCAAAGACTTCTGTATCTGAGAAGTACAGAAGTACTTTCTAGTAGAATCTTCTCACCCTTGTCGTCTCCTTGAATTCCAATCAGAAGCAAGAAGTGGTGCCAGTTATTTCCCCCTTTTGTGGATGCTGCTCCCTTTAAAACCCACAAGTTTCTCAGTAAACCCTACTTTTTTTTCCTAAAGGCTCCAGCTCCTACTGAGATGTCCCTTTTAAAGGACTTTTCCAGCAGATTCCTCTGCTGGGAGCTCTTTTATTTCCTTGGTGTCCAAATCAGAAGCTGTTGATAGTGAAGTCTGTAAACAGGCTCAAAACTGAACACACTAGGCTCCAAGTTGAGAATGTTTCCCGGGAAATGATGTGTCCACTGCTCTGTGCCTTTTGAAGATTTTTTCCTACTCTTTCCCAATTATTAGTATCTATAGGGCCTGTCTGAGGAAGCCATGGATTGTATTTGGTCACCTCTTGTAACATCTTTGTTAGGTCTTTTCTTGGCACACAAGCCCCGGAGCATTTAAGTAGACTTTAGAGGAGATGTATGTATTGTTGCTCCTCAGCTGAGGAATTTTAGCCCATTTTACTTCCAGATAAAATAGCTTGTTCACAGCAGGAAGACTCACCCTTATTCCTTATTCCTTATTTCTATGCTTCTCTCCCCTCTCTTCTCCAGGTATCCTTGGAAAAACTTCTTCCTGCTCATACCTTCCCCACTTCCCACACTTTTCATTTTAAGTAGACTAAAAAGTTAAAAACTCACAGCCCAAGGATTTTAGGTCCCTGCTCTGGGCATCAGAATTGTAGGTCTCCATCACCCTGGGATTCAGGGTTCCTTTCCTGAATGTTTTATTCTTTTTTCTGCATTGTGTTTCATTTCTCCAGTTCTCTGACTTTCTAGTTTTCCTGTGAGCTCCCTCCTAATTCCCAGAGATCTACTTCTTTTTTCTTTTCACCAAGCTTTTGTTTTCTAGGTGTCTCAATTATAGGGGCTGGAGTGGCAATGTTTGTCTTTGCCTTTTGAAAGTGTTTTATGATGAGCCTTAGTGCAAGTTTCTTCAGACTTCTTCTTCATGGAGATTTTTGAATGTGTTGAGAATCTTTTTTAATCAAAACTGTTAAAATTTCATTGCTATTTCTTTCACATATTTTCTCTCCTCTCCTATGGCTACCATGATGTGCAGGTAGTGTTCTTGATGGCAAGTTTTTGAAGATGTATATTTATTTATCTTTCTATGTCCAATCCTCAGATTGGAAAATATCAATTCATTGACCTTCAAACTTGTTGATTCTTCAGCTTGCTGAAATCTGTTGTTTAGCTTTTTTGGTGAATTTTTCATTTTAGTTAGTGTGATTACTAAATGATGTTCTAGAGAGGGAGCATATTGGTCATAGCCCCATGAATGAGAATGGAAACAACATGCCAAATAGGGCAAACAATTAAACAAAGGAGAATAAGAGCTATGCAATAGTAGTCTTTCAGTTATTCTTTTGTGTTCAGCAGCAGAATATTTTCACCAGCACACCCTACAAAGGACTTCTCTTCCATTGATGAGTTATGATTCCACCTGAGTCTACAGGGTGGATTTCAAAGAAATAGCTGTAGCTCAGTTCCACAAGTGACGCCTAGCCACCAGTAACTGTCACGGTCATTATGCATGTCCACAACACACTAGAACTTTGTGCGATATCCTATCCTCAAACTGTTAGAAGTGCTGGTCATTTACTTGCCATTCCAGTATTTATCTTATGTTTTACTCTTAGTACTTCTTTGCTATCATGAAAACTTTTTCTTAGTTCAATTGTTTGGAAACATTTAATTTTCTGAATATTGCTTAATCTTAATTTTTGTTCTAAGATTTATACTATATCTTTGACTTACAATTTATTTAAAAGACATTGTATATCTTCTAGTATTAGAAACTTTAAAAAGTATATTTCCATTTTCTGTTGACTTAAAAAAAAAGGTTTGTACCTATGTTGTTTATTTATTATTTCTTGCCTATATCTTGTAATATGAGAAACTACTTTGGCAGTAACAATACACAATGTACTAACCATTGTTACTCTCCTAAAATCTTGTGTTGAGATTTTGTACCATTGTTTTTATTTATTTTCTTTAAAATAAAATAACTGATGTCAAAAAAATAAAAAAAATAAAAAATAGTGTGATTTTTAGCTCCATTTTTTCTGTTTCATTCTTTTTCAATAACTTCTGTCATATTATTGATGTTTTCTTTTGAAGATGTTGTTCTAACAATTTCTTTAGTTTGTAAAATTGCTTTCTTAGACATATGCTCTTTATATTTAAAATAGTAAATTTAAGGTTTTGTCTAGTAAGTCCAACATCTGGGATTCTTCAGGGACAGGCTATTGTCTTCTTTCTTTGAATATTTAATAGCTTTGTGTTGAATATTGGATATTTTAAAAACATGACATGCAAGTTTTGGAAATTGGATTTCTTCTGCCTGTCCAGAGTTTGTTAGAGTTAACCAGTATTGTTATAAGTTATTGTACTTATTTTAGTGGCTTTTCTAAGCTATTCTTGTGACATCTGTATTCTTTATCATGTGTACCTGCAGTCTCTGCTTGTACAGTTTAGTACTCAGCTATGATTGTACTGAGCAAGCAGCCTCATGTGTGCACCATGTGATACCAGGGATCAAACCTGGGTCCTTGTGCTTGCCTAGACAGGCACTTAGACCGCTGAGCTATCTCCTTGGCCCAGTTTTTATTGATCTGGTATGTCTGATAAGCTCATGGTACTTGTTTTCTCTGATATAACTTAAATATAAGTTCAGTGTTCTTGATTAATTTGAAAAGTTTAAAGGTGGCAGATTTTGATTGGTAAGATTAATTTACTTTGCAGTTTATGCCTTATGATTGTGTGGTAAAGCTGAGAGTTGTTTTGCTTTTATGAGTTGGTGTGTCTAAATCTTGGTGGCTATTTGTACAAAGATGATATCAAGTCATTCTGCCTCATTACTTGCCCTAAAAATGTTCAAACTGCTGCTTTATTTTATTATTTTCTGTATTTTAGGGAAGGGTCTACAGAGTGTTCAGGGTCTCAAGTAGATCAGACTTGTACTGATTCTCCAAGTGCTGGGATTACAAGTGCATGCCACCATGCCCAGTCTCAATTGCCATCTCAGGGCCCCCTGGGGGCAGAGCTGCCACAGCAGGCCCAGGGATCGAACCCATGACCCCTGCGCCTGGTTGCAGGTGCTTTAACCCACTGAGCTATTTGGCTAGCTCTTAAACTGCTGCTTTATAAAATGCAATCACTCAAGGCAAAGCCAAGCCAGAAGCTTCCTACTGTAGGCAGCATAGAGTAGTTTATGACAGTGGGATTTTGGTTCAGAACTTCATGGGGGCTGGAAAGTGAAAAACTAAAACAGGGTCAGTTGAAATACCACAAAGCATCCAATTTTTCCTAATTATGCACAGTCTCAACTTCCTCTTTACTGCCTTAAAATCAAGCTTCTTCTTTCAAAATAATATTGAAGCAGAAATCCTGACCTAACTACAGCTATTTTGTTCAATAAAGTTGTAGTCATTTAGTTCTGTCATTGAACTCAGTTAAATCATGTGATATGTCATCAAACTGAAACTTTTGCGAATGTGCTAAAAACAACTTTGCTATGTACAACTATGCTTGCCACAAGATCCCACTGTACCATGACCTTCAACAAAAGCTTATCTCATTCTTGTGACTTCTGTTTGCCACTCTATAAATAAGACAAGGCCTCTGTAATCAACACCTCTGATGTTGGAGATAACTCCTCTGGGTTCCACTAGCATCAGTAAAATTTTCTTTCTTATCTTGAGCTCTTTGCAACTGTTGACTCAATTTTCCTTCAATACTATGCCTCTCACCCAAGGCATTGATAGTCATTTAATTTACAAGTCCAATAACCGTTTTAGATGACTTTCTCAAATCCTCAGCAGTTAACACTTTGGACCAGAGTAGCTTTCTTTCCACCTTCCCTTTGTGTCACTTCTATTTTCATTTCCCTCAGACAATAGAAAATAGGACAGTAAGACTAAGTCCAAGTAAGCAGATGATGCATGACCTGTGTCCCTCCACTTCTTGAATGGGTCCTTCAGGGCCCCCCAGGGGGCTAACATCACACTTTCTAGTTACAGCCGAGGCACTCTTCCTGCTGGAATCAATTCAGCTGCCTACATTCTGGTCCCCTTGGAGATCCCCAGCCTGAGAAACAGACAGGAGCCTGACCTGCTCCCCATGCACACACTCATGGCCCACCTCCTTAATGTCTTGTTGGCAGCTTTGTGTGTCATCATCTGTGCCCTCTGCCCAGGCCCCTGGGCATCCTCCTGAGGAGAGTAAGACAGTTATTGGAAATCTACACAGTCCTGAACATCTCTTAAGACCATTTAGGTCTGTGATGTATATTTTGAAGCTCTGGTTGGTGGTTCCCACCACCCAGGCTGGGGCTCTTTCTAGGCCATTCACTTGCACGTGATGGTGAAGAACGAGACCTTAGTGCAAAGAAGAGCACGTTTATTCGGTATGGATCAAGGGATGCTCTCATGGCTGTGAGAACGGATAGTGAGAAGGTTCCCTGGGGAGAAAGTAGCTTTGTCCCTTGTCAGCACATGGGCCATCCTTCTGGAAGCTGGGAGGGAGTGATGCAGTGAGCAGCAAGACATGGTCCTGTAGGGAGGAGAGTGTAGAAGATGTAAGGTCACCGATCTTACTGGTGCTGGCCCAACACCAAACCTGCCCTCCGGTGGGAAGAGAGGAGCCTGAGGTTGGAGGCTCCTTGTGCCTATGTTTGAGTGAGTTATGACCGTATCTATGTAGGCTTGCATGCAGTGTCTGCATACGTGCTCATGCATTCATGAGTGTGCAGGTATGAGGATATCTGTATCTGTATCATGTATGTTTTTGTCTGGCATGTATGTGTGTGTGTGTATGCATGTGTCCGTGTCCATGATCATGTATGTTTCTCTTTGTGGCTGTGCTGTTGTGGCACCTGTGTCTTTCTACTTCTACCAGATTTCTGTGGACATCTCTGCATACTCCTGTGTGTGTCTGTGTGAGTGTTTGTCTCTTTATTTTTTTTGAAGGTATGAGAATTGAACTCATGACCTCATGCTTGCTCTGGTGGTCCCTGGATGTTGCTATAATTTGTATCTCAAATGTTCTCCAAAGGCCCTGTGTTGAGGGCTTGGTCCCTAGGTGGTGCTGTTGGGTGGTGGAACCCTTAGGGCATGGGGTTCTTCAGGTCTTCAGGTCCCTAGAGGTGTTTCCTTGAAGGAGAGAGCAGAGCTTCAGGGAGTGGTTTTACTCTCCATGTGCTCCTACCATGATGTACTACCTCACCAAAAAAGGAGGGCCAATCAGTCATGCACTGACCCTTCAAAACTGTGAGCTCATATAAACATTTCTATCAGGTATTTCCTCCATCCTCCCTGCTGCTTTCTATCAGAATATAGCCACCCTCACATCCTGTGGTACAAGGAATAGCACTTACTAGCTCAGCAGAGCACCGGTTCCCTTTCTGGGAGGCCTAGATCTTGAAGACAAATTGTAGTCCATGGATCAGTAATTCTGGAAAATAAAATCACCAGACTGAGATGAATGATCTGGAGAGGAAGAGGCTGACGAGGAGCCCACACTCCTTCAAGACACAGGACCACAGAATAGGAGCACTGGAAACCCAGCAGAGCTCAGGTGTAGGAGGGGGTGGGCCTCCTTCTACTACACAGCCCTGTTGTTCTTAAGGTCAGAACTGAGGGAGAGGCAGGCTATCTACCTCAAAATTATATAGATCATTCAAAGAAACAAAGAAATTCCAAACAGGGAAAGTTGGGGCCCGATGGACATAATGGTCCCATAGTGTGTAGGCACAAAACACCTTGGGGATATCACTGTTTCTACAGGGGGAAGAAAAGGCTTGGAAGCATATTTACCAGCAATATCATGTACCAGGGTGACATCCAAGTGTCTGAGCACCTCGTTGACCAGAGGGCACACCTACACAGAGGCAGAGAGGAGTGAGGCCAAGGGCACCCTCAAGGAATAGCAGCCAGGAAAAACCAGGGTGGGTTTTCTAGGGAAATTTTTCTCTCAATATTCTATGTCTGAGTGTTGACTGGATTAATCTTTACACGTACACATTAAGAAGAACAGAAATTAAAGGCAGGGGGTGTTGTAAAGTGCCCCAAGTTACACAACCAGCCTGGGGTGCCCTCTCTGATGACTGTTTGTGGAGTGTCCTGGGAGGGATGAGTTTCTGATTATAGGAGACTCCTGAGTGTGGCTGGAAGGCTTCCTGTCTCTGGCCACAGGGGGCTGGGCAGGGAATTCTCAGGGCAGTCCACTGTGACATAGACATGCATAGGAGCCGGCCTGGAGCTGGAGCCAATCAATGGATTTGGAGGAAGATAAAGAAGAAGCTGAGAAAGATGAAACAGATGGGCACATTGATGAATTGAGATTAGCTCTTCCACAACCTATTTTTCAGCTTGGGACACTTGAGGCCTCATGGAGCAGAGGCCTCACTCTCACCCTCTTACCTTGCCCTGCACCAGCTCAGGGAGGACTTTATTGAGGATATCTGTGATGCCATCTAGAAGGCCTTGAACAGGCAGAGGAACAACTCTGGAAGAGAAAAGCCATGGCTTGGAGAAGTCCTCAAAGGGCCGTTGTCCACCCTTATTCTCGGCAGCAGTAATAGAGACTCAGCTTGTGAACTCACCCTCAGGAGCACACCCTATCTGCAGAAAGTGAGGCTCCTCAGAGCAGCACACACAGTTCCAGGACAAGCAAGACTTTGCAGAATCCACCAATGTGTAAACAGGGTTTAGGAAATCATTGTTTAATATATCACAAGGCTTTGAGATGACACACATGAAACAGTTGTGTGTTCAGTGAATCTTAGCCAAGTTCTTAATGACTTGCAGGTTGTATGTATTCAGTCTCCCCATGTAACAAGTAACTGAAATAAGCAACCTAGAATAGGGAGGCTTAAGCTCAGAATCCTTCTTCCTTGCTTCTCTCTCTCTCTCTCTCTCTCTCTCTCTCTCTCTCTCTCTCTCTCTCTCTTTCTTTCTTTCTTTCTATTTCTCTCATTTCCTTTCCTTTTTCTCCTTGCTTTCTATGTTCTTTCCTTCTTTCTTTCTTTTTTTATTATTTTGAGATAGAGTCTCACTGTTTCCCAGGCTGTCCTTGAGTGGGGTTCAAGAAATCCTCTTCTCTTGGCTAGTAGTGGGGCTATAGGTGTGCACCACCATGCTCAGGTTAAACTCAGATTTCTTGTTGTCTAATCCAACATAAAATCAGTCCTCCAGGCTTAATGAAGGATAAGTGACTATTTACCTATCCACTTACTTATACATCTGTCCATCCATCCTTCCTTCTACCCATCTAGCCACCAATCCATCCATCCATCCTTCTATTCACCCATCTATCTACCCTTCCACCCACCCACTCTGCCTTCTGTCTTTTTACTCACCCATTTCCCATAATTCCATATTTTCACCCTCTCATGCCCTCCACCATTGTCTCTGGGTTGAAGGAGGGAGCCCTGTGGTCTCACCCTTTAAGAATAGAGATGTGCAGATTTCCAGGGGAGTGGATGCAATCACCAAGGACCAGGTGGACCCTCCCCTGGTTGTCTCTCACAGCTAAGACTTCTGCAGTGATGTTTAGCTTCAGTTTCAGTTCCAATAGACTTGTAATCATGGGCCTGCAGAGGAGATAGCTTTACTGGCATGTGGCCCCACATTTCAAAGTGAAGTGTTTGTTTTTTTTTTTATTGCCAGGAACACTAGCCTCATGTTATTAATTTTGCCCACAGTTGTATTCTTTTCACCTCCTGGTAAGGGATACCTACTTGTATCATATCAGTTAGTGAGTTTCCCACATGATCTAAGGTGTTCAGCTTAACATCAAAAAAGTTAAAGTTTCAGGTTCAGATCAGTTATACTCCAATGATGTCCCCACCTTTTTTTTTGAGACAGGGTCTCACTATGTAGTATGGTATGGACTTGTGCTCACTTTTGTAGCCTCCAGGCTGATCCCAAACTCACAGAGATCCTCCTGGCTCAACCTCTCAAGTGCTGGGACTACAGGCGTGTGCTACCACCCAGTGCCCTCTTTTTGGCTACCCACATCCATCAGGGTCTCCCTCAGTGAGTCACTCTTCTGTCCTCCTTGGACATACTTACAATTTCAATTCAAGATCCAGGCCAAGAGGGATAGTGACATAGAGGCGATGGCCATCAGGGCTCTGCACAAGGCCAAGTTCCAGCAGCTGGGGATTAGTGATCTTTAAGCTGTTCAGCAAGCAATATCACAGGGAGAAACATTAGCTCCTTGGGCTCCAAATCCAGAAACCATCTTTAACCCAAGCATATCCGTGTCAGAGAGAGCTTGCCCCCGAGAAGCCATATAGGCTCTCAGTCTCACGCTCATCTTTGCCAATCTGTGCCTGGATCAGATCTTGACATGCACACTCTTTCTTCATCTCAAGTCTATGCAGTGTTTTGGACAGGGACTATGTTTGGGTTCTGTTTGCATCCTGTATGCCAGCTCTGAGCCTCACAGAGAAAGTGGCTGAGTATGGGTTGATGAGAAGGTAGATACATGGATATATGTAGGCGTTTGAGTAGAAGAGGAAGTGGTTAGATAAAAGGAAGAAAGAATCAGTGGATGGATGGGTTGGTCAATGGATGAAAGGATGATATGTGGACAACTAGAATAAACCTTGCACAGACATTTGTGGGTAGGAAACATTCATCCTGTCATGGCCTTTAATATCGAGTCAATCCTCAATGTTTATCATGAGAATAGAAGAGCAGGAATCAGGGAAAAAGAAGAAAGAGTAAGAGAAAGCCTTCTCTGAGTCAGCCATGGTGAAGTCTATCTGTCTTCAGGACAGGAAGCAATCACTGGGTGGTCAGATCATGGAAATGGCTTTTATCCAACCCTATCAGGACCCCAGGCTTTGCCAGCACACCCACACCCAGGTGTCCTTTATTGCTTCTTGCTTAACAGGCTTTGTGGTATCTCATGGGAAGCACTATATGAAATTTTTTCATCACCATGTTACTTATAGTCACAGTGATGATACAGTGAGGAGTATGCTCATCCTCTTTTGCTTATATCAAAGGCCACTTCAGTTCTAAATGATCCAGAGGGGTAGAGAACAAAACTGCACTGTTGTCACTAGCTTTAGGTTTAGGTAAGTTAGAGTCCTCATTCTGCCTTACTCTGCATGTCTCTGGGCCTCAGTTCCACCATCAATGAACTGGAGATGATTAAACTGATCTTGAAGTGTTGTCATCAGGCTTATAGATGTTTCTGGAACCCCAGGACATGCTTGAGACCTGGGGCCAATTACTGGTGCAGGGGGCCCAGGGTTCCTTGCCAGTCTTCAGCACTATTGGTTGCTGGCTCAGCTACCTGCCCCTCCCACAGGACCATTGTCTGGATCTGGCAGATCTTTGATTGCTGGTGGGGCCCTATTTCAGGGCAACTTACTCAATTATGTTGTTCAGGAGAGGGATCCCTGAGGTCAATGTTCCAAGGAGGTTCCCAAGCAGGCCACCAGAAGTGCCATCTCCAGGCTTCAAGATGTTCAAGAGTGGAAGGTTTTCCAGAACTTTCAACAGACCCTCAGAGAGCAGGCCACTGGTGAGGCCTGCAAAGAACAGAAGGCCTCTGGAGATCAGATCCTCAGGCCATCTCCAACCCTTTCTTGTCCCTCCTCCTATCGAGTGATTACACACACACATGTGCACATGCACACATGCACACGTGTGAAAGAGGCTGTCACAGACTCACTCACCGCCAATCAAGCTTCCTGTAGGATCCTTGTGCTTCAAGGGCAGAGATGGAGTCATGTACGAGGGCAGGCCTTGGCCCAAGGGCAAGGGTAAACTCTGGTCCTGTGGCAATGGCAGGCCACCAAGCTGAGCTGTGGACTGGGCCAGCAGCTCACAGAGGACAATGAGGGCCCCAATTTGAAACATTTTTCTTGGTAGCTGTGGACAGAATGACAAACTTAAGGTGACACAGAGGCATCTATGAATGGCCTGTCCCCAACCCCTGGGAGGGTGTTTCTTACTTTTTCTTCTCTAGACCAGTGGAGTGTGTGTGTGTGTGGGAACCACTGGTTATAATTATTAATTCTGTTGGGAATTTCTCTCTGTTAGACACCAAGACAGTCACTTTACTTGTAATCAATTTTTTTTTTTTTTTTTTGTGGAACCAGGGTTTGAACTCAGGCCCTTGCACTTGCCAGGGAAGCGCTTATTCCACTGAGCCATCTCCCCGGTCCCCTTGTAACCAATTTTATCCTCACTACATCCTAAGACGTAGGCACATATTACTACATCACACAGCTGAGGCATCAGGAACCTAGTGTCATCTCCCAAAGTCTCAAGCACACAGTGACCAGAGGATTCGAAACCAGATCTATCTGACCTGCCAGGCTGCAGTAGGCAAATGGCCAACAGATTCACTTTCCAGCTGGGTTTGCTGAAGATAGCTTGAGCACTTGCTCTTTCAACAAATCAGATGAGAAGGGTCACACACGCTAGAGGCTGAAGACCTGAGCTACTTTACCACTGTCCCTGGTTTGTGCTTAGGTGGTGACCTCTAGATGTCCCTTCATGCCACAGTGTCAGAGATGTGTGGACACAGCCACTGTCTTATGCAGACCTGGGCTGGGGAAATCCCGAGCCTACCCAAGCACCTCAGTGTACATAGAGAATCAAGGGAATGGAAGGAGTAGTGACTTTGGCGAGGTCACACAGCAAACTGATGGCAGTGCTGTGCTTTGAGGCAGGTTTCAGAACCTTTCTCTACTCTTTTTTACACCTTTATCTTTTCCCTCAAGCTGCCCTGGATGGATGGATGAACTGGATGACCCTGAGGTCTGGGGACCTTATGAACTGACTGCTTCACAGATACCTCTGACCACTTTGCAGGTCTGTTTGGCAGCCATCAGAACTGTCCAAAGGCAGAGTTGGTGTCTATGCTTCCAGAGATGACCAACTAATTGAGGCAAAGTTCCACCAACTGTCACTGAATATTTGGGCAACCTTTATAAATCTGGTGGCAGCTGAAGACCCTAGATTTAGAAAAATGCGTCAAAATGTACAAAATTATATGAATAATTTTGTTTGTGGGTAACCATCAACTTCACCTTAAAATCCTTGCCTTAGAGCTCTAGAGTACTCATTTCTGTACCAGTGTTGCCGGTCTCTTAGGCAAGCAGAGCGCATGGTTGTCTCCACATCCCTGGCCAGGGCGAGTCCTAGTTCCTTGCAAGGGCCTCAGGAAGTAACCCCAAGTGCTATCTGTCCATGTCTACCCACATCAAGGAGCCTGGCATCCTTGTTCCCTGGCCAGAAGAGCCACAGCAGGAGAGGTGGGTCTCACCTGGGTTTCACAGGACCTCAGCCGCTGTCCCGGTCTCCTTCCCTCTCTGCTTGCCTTTGCCAATGAGGAAGCCTCTTTTATAGTATGGGAATCAGGAAATGTGGAACTGTTGGATGAATTTCTAGATAATTTGGGAATTGTGCCATCCAGTGGTGTCTTGCAGGGCTCTGTAAAGTAAATAATTGCCAGTCACCTTGGCAGGTGAGGCTGCTAAGCTATATGGTTCACAAGTTAAACAGAAAAGCTTGAGATGAGGCTGTTACTCAAGACTTCATGGTGTCGTGCATGGGGCTGAGGTGAGGCCCACACTCCCAGAGAACCAGGCAGATCATGTTCGGGTGCTGGCAGGGGCAGCCAGTGGGACCTCAGGAGAAATCTTGCTTCTCCTCTGTCAAGAGTCAGACTGCTTCTCTATCAGGCTTTCCTATCTTGGGATGTCTCTCAGTCTCATAGTGGGGTTTTTCTGTTTTCTGAACCCTTAGTGCATGATAAGACTTCTGGGCCAGGGAGGCTACTGGTCCTCTTTCACCAAAGAGGAAACTGAGACAAGGGATCCAGAGAGGTGGGTGAATTAGTACTCAACTCATTGGATAATAATGACAATAAAAGCAACGCCAAGAGCCAGCACCCATTCAGCTTGTGTCATGTGCCAGGTCCTCACAGTCCTGTGTGAGGGGGAAAAGGGGCTCAGAGTATGAGGTGATGTGCCCAGGGCTGTGCAGTTGCTGTGGGCAGGACAGTCACACCAGGTCCTTGCTCTTAATCCTTGTGTTCAGCTGAGGATGAAATGCCTTGTCCATGCCTTCTGCCCATTTTGATTTTCCACAACTGTGAAATTCATCATCTCCACTTTTATGTTCTCAAAAAAGCTCTCTGGGTTCCCAGGCCTGAGGGATCCATGTGCTGGCCCCTCCCTTTGTCCTTTCTTATACCCTTTCCCTATGGGAACAATAAGACACTACTTTAGAGATGGGGAAACAGAGGCATGGGAGTCATCAAAGTCCTGAAACTGTGAGAGCAGCTCTTGCCTTGCAGAACCTGTTACCTTAGAAGTAAAAATGGAGAGAAAAGAAAGAAACACACTCTTCTTAGGCACCTTCTGTGTACCCAATGCTTTCCATAGCTAACCTTTATCAGGAGTGGTTGGTATTGTGCTTCATAGAACATATGAGGCTACTCTAGCAGCAAGTGAGTTCTGAAGTCCTCTCAGTCCCGAAGCCATGGCTGCCTTCCTCCTTGGGATTAGTGAACCCCTCTGCCTTCCCCTCATGCCACACCCTCCCTAAGCCTCCCTAGTCCTGCTCTAGAGCCTGTGGACATCCAGGGGCTGGGACAGGAGCTTTGAAATTGAATGTCACTTCTAGAAAGTTCTGGGTTGTCCCACAGCTTGTGTGTGCCAGTCACCCTCCACATGGCTTCCCCCTCTTCTATCTCAGTGCAACTCTTGTGGGCCCGATCAGGCTGCTACTACTCTTGTGGGGAAACAGGAACAGATAAGGTCAAGAACTGAGCCACATGTATAAAGTATGGGAAAGTTTTCCTCCTGTGCTTCAAAGCCAGGAGGCTGGGTGCTATGGAAGAAAACAGTATGTACCAGGCATTTGTTCAAATCCTGGGACCTCAGGCAAGTCACTCCCATTCCTAGAAATCTCCCTTTCCAAGCCCAGGGCCCCCACATTTTCCTAAGTTACCTACCATCTGGTTACCATTCCAAATGCAATTTTACTCAGCAGTGAAATTTTCTCATCTTCTGGGGTTTCATTTATGCCAAGGCTCCCCCAGGAAGCTGCCTTGTCTTGCTTTTGACTGGAAATGCAGTGCGCCATCTGGCCCCTGACTGCTGAGGCCCTGTCCCTCCTGCCTGAAAAGCTCCTGCAGGTGTCACATTTCCTCTTCCTCCTTTGATCCAAAATCGTTGTGTTCCTCAGACCCTTGTCTTGGGCACGATGGTGCAAGGCTGCACAAACCCATCTCGAGTCCAGAGATCCACCTAGACTCTCTGCTTCACTCTCTCTTCCCAGGGCCTCCTGTCCCACCTCTGGGAGGGGAGCTGGCACAGGTACCCACCCTCTGTTCTCCATCCTGCAGTTGCGTTGGGTTTTTGGAGTCCCTTGGCCTGTGTTGGGGTGCTTTTGGGATGGAAAAGGGAGCTGGGCTTTCTAGAACTACCATAGCTATGTTCTCTTCTCTGTCTCATGACTCCTCTGCTCCCTTATCCCATCAGAGGAGCTCTCATCTCGGGGCCCAGCCCTGGCTTCTCACCCTGACATGACTACACCTCTTAATGCCTTTCATGCCTGAATGTTAAAGTTCCTAAACCCAGGCTCTACACACATGCACATATTAAAATAGAGAGCAAAGGAGACCTTTTCATCCAACAGGGGTGTATTTTTATATAGCCACCATAATAGTAGAGGACAAAGCAGTTCCATCAACCCCAAGCAACCCCCATTCATCACCTGTGAGTTCTGTCTATAGCGTTGTGTTAAAGCCCAGACCTTTGAAACTTTAATGCTGTTTTTTGCTGAGAGAATTGCCCCACCCCCACCCCCAATCCCCTGGGGTCTGTGTGCTGCACACCCTAGCAGGGACAGAACCTAGAGCAGCAGGAAAGGAAAAAAGACTCACTGTGGCATTTCCAGGACTGTTTTCCTTCCCAGGGGACACCCATACAGTCCAGATGTGTTTCTCAGAAGTTGGGTAGCATCCTTTCTGCCTCCTTGCCAGGTTGTGATTGTGTTTGGGAACATCTATGAGTGGTTTATGAATCAAGGGCTCCATTTAAAATGTTTTAAAAATTAATGAGAGGCAGAAAGACGAATACCACCTGTCCTCATTAACTTCAGCTGCTAAACAGCCCATCTCCCAGGAGAACAGTAGAATAATGGTGTCTAGAAAACTCCTTCCTGTCCCTTCCCCTCCCCTCTTCCCACTCTCCCTCCCTCGGTACCTCCCTCCCTCTTTTCTTTTGCCCTTTTCCCCTTCCTTTCTTCCATTCCATCTCTTTGTCAAAGGGCTGTGACACATACAAAGTTTATTCTTCAGAACATGAGAATGGAATGCAGTCTGCTCTCTGGGAGCAAGGCCAGGTTATGGGATCAGTTTGAGAGGGTGTGCAGATGGACTTGGACACTCCAGAGAGTTCCCAGAGGGCTGGACACCCTGACTTTGATGTTTTCTCATCAAGAACATGATTTTTTTTCAATGTCCTTCCACAGTTTGCTTCAGGCAAGCTCCCTTCCCTTGGAGACTGGTCCTTCTACCTGCATTTAGAGCAGATTTTAATAACAGAGACCCTAGAGTTTTATACCATCTGTGACAATCCTGTGGGGAAACTGAGGCTCAAGGAGGGAAGTGACTGACTCAGGACTTCCTTGGCTGGGTAGAGGTGAAGTCAGACTATCTTTCAGAGCTCCCCAACTTCAGGGCTCTTTAAGGGCAAGTTTGCTTGACAGTCTCCAGTTCAGAAAGTGCCTGCTTGTGTTCTCTGGAGCCCACTGTGGGCTGTGAGGGCAAATAGTTCCACACTCCAATCCAGCCCGTCACTATCTGTATGGCTGGGCAAGATTTTCCTTTTTAAGTTTTTGGAAAAAAAATTTTATGGCAAGAGCATTTAACAGGAGTTCTATCCTCTTAGCAGACTCTTGCACACACAGTGTAATTCTAGGCTGTTTGAGCTCAGTTTCCTCATCTATAATCCGGGGCTGTGGAAGAGTTACAATTAGAGGAGACAGATGTGTGGCTTCATACCTGGCACAGGTTGGCCTCATTGCTGGTAGGGCCTGGGAGGCACAGGGCATAGGCAGCAGGGCTTGATTTCTGCTTAAACCACCTCACTGTGGAGCCAGTGTCATCAGTTATAGAGGCCCATTGTTTAACAAGCTTTTCTGGGAGAAAATACACTGAACATACTACCCTGTGAACCTTAAAATAAAATTTGAGAAGCCCAAGGAGGTGTTTTGAGAAGCCCTGAGCCGTCCAGGAGGGGTCGGGGGGAGGCAGACAAAAGCTGTCTTCCCAAGGACAGGCAACCTCTCAGCCCAGCCCTCCTCTGTGTTTGCTGTTTGGCTCAGGAACAGGAAGAACCCCCTCAAGCTCCAGGCTAGGAAGGGATCTGGGAACACAGGAGTTTAGGGTTGCAAATCCCCGCCGAAGCGTTTCAGATTAGGGAGTCTGAATTGAAAGATGGTGACAAGAAGCTCTCTGGCCCTATTCTCCTCTCTGAGCTGTTGACACATCCTTGTTTGAACTTGTCAGTTCTGCTGAACACCTGTTTAGTCATTTCACCTCAAAGCCTGAGGGGGGTGGGGTGGGTGGGAGGGGTGGACAACAAGAGGGGATTCACCGAGGTCAGAGAGCACTGTGCTGGGGGCTGTGTCCTGGCAATGTGGCCATTTCCTTGCTGGGTGAGCTTGGGCAAGGGACTTTCTCTGAGCGTCATTGTTCTCATGTTTAAGATGGAATAAAAGATTTGTCTCTCACAGGGTTGTCATGAGGCTTTCAGTGTAAGCCCTGAGTCCCCGGTTTGGGCACCCGCCAGGGGTTTATATGTGTCAGCTATTATCACCAACGTGGGTATCACTTTCCCTCGATTTCTCCACGCTTGGATGGTGGAAATCAATATTCAACAACTGATTGTCCAATGATGAATAATTAACAATTAATTGAAAGACATTTATGAACATTTCCCGCTGACTGCACATATATCACACCTACAACACATGGTTTTCAGTGTACTCCTTATAAGCGTCCTGCTTGTGAAATAGTCCTTTATTTTTCAAATTGTTAAAATATACTGTAATATATCTAAAAAAAAAAAAAGTGCACATGCATAAATAGTTCAGTGAGTTGCCTGGATTAGTTGTTTTCAATTTTGTACTTCAGGAGACTGAACGTATGGCCTCACCCATGGTAAGCAAGTGCTCTACGACCGAGCTACATCTCCAGCCCTCCACTTTTTACTTTCTAGGTTCCCCAAGCTGTCCTCAAGCTTGGGTTCCTCCTGGAATAGCTGGGATTAAGTGTGTGAATTGGCACATTTGGCTCTTCTTGACTTCATATCCATGGGACATGTGTCATGGCCTCCTTTGTGTCTGGCCTCCTTCGTGTGACCTTATGTTTATGGAGTTCACCCCTGTGGTTCTGGGAAAGTGGAAGTTGTTGTCATTCCTATGGAGAACCCTGGGGGTGATGGTCCCAGAGGCTATTAAGGCCTGGTAACCAGAGCCTCCCTTTCTCCGCATGTGTGCGTGGACATCTGCTAAGTGCACAGCTTGTGTGGAACTGCAGGGTCCCCAAAAAGCCACATGTTCAGCTTTAGTTGACGTCTGGTTTCTCCCTCCAGCAGCATGTTGGGCTCCTGTGGCTCCACACCCTATAAGGTTTTTATTCCCATTTTGCAGATAATGAAGACCACAATCTCAAGTGCTTCTTTGTCCCACATACAACTGATGAGCCCTAAAACTGGGATTCCCCCATCTGCTTAATCCCAAACCCTTGCTGCGCTCTCACTCTGTGCTGGGTGTGTGCCAGGGAATAGGAGTCATCAGTCAGCTAACTGTGTAGGTCCTCTCGAAACTCCTAGCTGGGATGGGTGTAATTTGAACCCAGGTCTGTTTGGTACTGCCACTTTTCACTCTTGTCACCCTGCCTCTGCTCTCCTTAGAGCTTAGCAATGTTCTTGCTAACAGGTGTTCAATAAATATGGCATGAATGAGTGAGAGAATGGGAAATCTCAGATCCTCCTGACAAAATTGTGAATGGTTGCAACATACAGGTTCAGGTTGTTTTCTCCGGTATTTCTAGAATGATGAGCACCCAAAGGATACTTGCTTTCAGAATGTTCACCTCAGCAGGTTTGACTCCTACACCTGAACCTCAGGGCCCAGGCAGGGAGGACAAGTGAGACCTGTAGAGCTACAGTTTATTGTGGGAGAGGATAAGATGCCCGAACGGCCTGGAGTTAAGGTTCCAGGGACAGTAGGGACTCTATGCTGAAGGAGACTGAGGATCCCATGAGGTGGAGTCTCCTGATCAACAGCAGGGAGCGGAGGAGCCTAGACGTTGGTAAGTGGGTGCTGTCTGGATTCATAGTTGATCAAGTCCGTCGGCAGCTGCCTGTTCTGTAAGGGGAAAGAGGAAAGGGGCAGCACTCCACAGTGGCCTTTCTAACCCTAGGATCACACTGAGTGGCTCACTTCCTGGCTCTTACAAGACAGTGAGCTGGTGAGGGCTGGACTGACATGGTTTAGCTGTTTAGAGGTGTCTTTGTGCTAGGGTGGGGCTGGAGCTCCCTACTGGATTGGGAAATGCTAGAAATGTTATAATTTCTGGTGAACTGATGGTTTGGGCCTGCTTAGTTGGGGTCCCCTGTACTGTCCCAGTTCTCTTGGAGGTCCCCATTAACATTTTCTTGCAGTATAAGCAGATACCCCTCAGCAGGTCTCAAGGGGGACTCCAGGGGTGCAGGTCTCCTTGTGGCACTTGCTTATCCTGGGGTGGTCTCCAAGACAGAGCAGGCACTCACCCATGAGGCCTTTCAATAGTTTCACATCCAGCTGCCTGAAGAGGTCGCCAATGAGAGGACAAACCTGCGTCAGGGAGAGAAGGCTTAGGCCAGGGCCTGTGGGAGGTACCGGCAGGCACAAGGTTGGGAGTTTCTAGCAGGAACCAGAGTGAGAGTGGCTACCTCACACTGAGAACCAGTGCACCCCACACACCATCCCCTGGCTTGTCTCTCTTGTTCCTCACCAAGTATGATGGCTGCCCTGCTGCAGATGGGGAAACTGAGGCTAGGGGGCCAAGTCCCTTGCCCAAAGGACACACTGACCAAACTGAAAATTTTAATTGAGATTTTTCAGGTTTTACAGTCCAAGGTTTGAAAATTCTGCTAAATCACCCATACATATGCCCTGGCCCTCAGGCCTAAGGATATACCTAAAGTGCAGATATTTTTTCTCAAACTTACCTGATTTTCTACCAGATGTGGGACAGTCTTTCCTATGTTCTCTTTGAGGTTGTGGAGGAAATGTTTCATCTTGAATGGAACAGCCCTAGAAAAAGAGGAAACTGCACAGAGAAGACACTACTGGTGGAGGTATGTGTCGGGCAGGACTTTTAAGTCTGGCCTGGCCCCACATAGAGGAATCATTGTCAGCAGCAGTCAATAGGAGACTCAGAGAGGTGGTGTGACTCACCCAAGGGCGGACAGCAAGGAAGGCCAATTCTATCAGAACTGTGCAAAGGTGGCACCAGAGTCCACCTTTGTTCCCTTATGCTGTCTTCCCCAGAATGTCTGGTATAATTTAGAGTCAGTGAACATCTGAAGAATGAATAGGCCAACATCCACTGAGGTCTTCACTTTTTTTTTTTTTAATGTATTTAGTACAGGGTCTACAGGGTCTCACTACACAGATCGGACTCAGTGATTCTCCTGTTTTCAACCTCCCAAACTCTGGGATTACGGGTGTGGGCTACCACACCCAATCTCAATTGCTGTCTCAGTGTGCCCTGGGGGCAGGGCCTGTACTGCATGCTGGGGATTGAACTGAGACCCCAGTCACTGTGTCTGCTTAAGCAGGTATTTTAATCTGCTAAACTATCTGGCCAGCTCTGGTCTTCACTGTTTGGCACTATGAAATTACAGAGACAGCACCAATCTTGCAGTTTGTTGAGGTCAACCCAGTCAGCCAGCCAGAGTACAGAGCTTCATAGAGCTTCATGAAGCTCTCAGCTATGTCTTGTTCACCTCTGTGTCCATAGCACCAGGCCTGGCACCTGCACCTCATAGCTTCTGGGAAATATGTGAATGAACAAGTGATGAGGGGGATATTTGGAAAAGGCAGGAAGGGCATCCAAGGATCCATCCAGGATCAGCCTGCTCATCACACGGTGGTGGGACACTGCCTTGTGTGTCCTGGAGAGGTGTGCCTTTCAGCAAGGCTACAGGGTAGATGCCTGCAGGGGAGATGCACAGGGACTGGAGCAACAATCTGGAGTCTGCTCTTTATCTCCAGGGCAATGGGAAGCACTGGAGGCTTTGGAACAGGAGCCCTGAGCATCACCACAGTTCTGCTTTTGAAAGTAATTTCTGCAGCCCGATGGCAAATGGCGTGTGGGAGGTGAGGTCCCAGTTAGAAAGTCAGAGGAGCGGCCTGGCTTCTGGGAGCTTGGCTGCCTTTGGGCCCAAGAGGAAGAGTGGGTCTGGGGGAGGGGTGAGGTCTGTGGTGGACTTATCAGGAGGAGGTGGGGAAGTGAGGCTGCAGCTGGGGTCTTACTCAGTGAGGACTGTCACAAGGACGTTGGGCTCCGTGCAACACTGGCCCACCACCAGATCCCTCCGGCCATACTCATCTTTCTCCAACCAGAACTCTGCAACAAGGCTCATGCTTGTGTGCAGCACAGTGCTGTTATTGAAGGACCTGCAGGAGAGAGAGCAGGAGTGGGGAGGGATGGAGAAAGAATAGGAGGAGACAGAAGCAGCCAGGACAAGATGGGCTGCCTATGTGGGTGAGGACTCATGCTGTGCCCTGGCAGGACCCCTCAGCACCTGGGTGCTCCCAACAAGCCTGAAAACTAAACTCTGAAGTCAGCTTGAGGGAGAAAAGTGCTATTAATGTGTGTGTGTGTGTGTGTGTGTGTGTGTGTGTGTGTGTTGTGCAGTAAATCCCCGGGTCCCATGTACTCTATCACTGAGTTCCATCCCCAGCTCTCAGATGACTTTTGAAAATTTCTGAAGGAGACCAGTTTAGGAACCTTTTCAAATTTCAAAGTAAGAGCCTGACAGAGTAGATAAAACCTGAAAGGTATAATAGGTATAGTGAAATGGAAAGAAACTGAATTTAAGGATTAAACAACAAAGATGAGAGAAAGGATAATAAATAGGAAAAAAGGAAGGAGGGAAAAACATTCAAGAATATATACAGGATAGCTGAGATGATTATACTCATAATTTCCATCAGTTTTTTGAAAATAGCACTTAATGTTTAGAATTTTCACCTTGACTAACTGTATGCTGATCTCTTCAATCTAAGCACCTACATGGAAGACAGCAATGTGTAATACAAAAACCATGGTTGAATACCTCTCATCTTGGTCTTTTAAAAGTGTATTATTTCTAATGTCTTGTCAATTATTATTATACTCTCTAAAATAAGTTTTAAAAAAGTAAAAAAAAGAAAAAATGAAAGCAAGCATTAATATTTTATTGAAAGCAAGCATTAATATTCAACTATTTATCCAATCTTGCATAACTGTTAATTTGAGCAATAGATTTGACCATAAAAATAGATAGCAATCACTGTTAATTAGCTATTCTTGTTTTGAAAATCAGTATCATGTGCATTGTTGTATGTTACACTGTTTCTGTCTTTGTTTCTGCTATTTGTTTTTACTCTTCAAAATAAAATTTTAAAGAAATAAAAAAAGAAATTTAGAAGTTTTAATTTCTATTTTAAAAATTGTTTCCACTTAGCTACAGCCCCCTTCCCTAGCGGTGGTGGATCTTAAGGAACAGCCTGGCGTGGAGGGTGATGAGTACGGGACGAGAGGAATGACAGTGGCCTCCCTGCTTTCTTTGCTTAGCCCTGCGAGGTACGCTCACTTAGCTTTAAATGAACAGGTGGCCCGCTTCTGCTAGTCATTGCCATCTGCATTTCAGCTGAAGAAACTGAGACTTGGGAGGGACAAAGCCGTGTGACTGAGGTCCCCCAGAGAGTGAGGTCAGAAGCCCAGAGAAAGATCTGCGTTGCCCATGCGGCCCAGCTTCCCCACAGCTCCCAGTGAAGGGGAGTGGTGCTTCCCACAGGCAGCTTCTGTAGGACTCACAGTGTCAGTTCAATGTCAAATTCAAGCAAGATGTTGGTAGAGAACCACTCCTTGTGAAAAGACATCGGGATGCCAGCACAATCCAGCTGCACGTTGGTGATATTGAGGCTACAAGGGAGACAGCAGAGGCCCCGCAGAGTGGGGAGCTCAGGACAGGCAAGGCCTTATGCTGCAGAACAAGGCTGGCTGCTCTGCAAAGTAGGCCTGGTGATGTGGGTAGGAATCAGGTTTTTTGGTTTTTTTTTTGTTCCTCGAATGCCTTCAGGGCACTTTTGGCCAGCTGGAGAGGTGTGAGGTTCGAACTCCAGCAACCTGAGGCTGACAGCTTTGTGGAAGCAGCCACTTAAAGGCCTGAGCTATGGCCAGGCCCCCTGGGGGTAGGAATCAGACCAGTTCCAAACGTCCTGCAGGCTGCAGGCAGGCACATGAGTGGAGTTCCCCATACCCTTGCACGCAAGCCCCAGCCATCCCCGGCCCCCAGCCCCCAGCCCCCAGCCCTGGGGTCCTGCTCTCAGACCGAGTCTCCCAGTTCAGTAGCCGGCTCCACCAACCACCTGGGAGCCAAATCCCGGGAGCTGTCTTTGACTTCTCTCCATTCCTCACCCCTACATTGCAAACCACGTGGCTGTGCGTGTCCTGAGCTTGGCCCCTCTGTTGCTGCACTTGGCTTGGACACCTGACCTCCTCCTGGAGACGCTGCCCCCACCTACTGTGCCCTTGTTTTTGCTACACACTTTTGCATGAGGGGCCGATCCACTTCCTTTCCCCTCTCTGTGTGAATCTCAGCTCCTGGCTCACCCTCTCCTCCAGCTCCTCCCCTGTCCATGTAGAGCTTTTCTCCCCTTCAAACCCTGTCCTACCTTGGGATCTTGCACCACTCCCACCCACTCTCCCCACGTCCTTCTTGTCACCCACTCTCTCCTTTTCATTCAGGTTCCTCAGGGACCGCTATTCCTCTCACTCTTACCCCTCAGCTGGTTGTATTCGTCTTCTCATGCCCCTTCACCTGAAATTAGTCATTTGCCTTCTGTGGCCTGTCTTGCTAAATAGGATGCAAGTTACTCTCAAAATGTAGCACTATATGTTTTACTCAGAGCTGGCTCCCCAGCTATGAATATGCACTTTCCACACCAAGTCCTGGTATGCAGTGGACGCCCAATGAATGGCTATAACATTGGCTAGAGATGTGAGTGGGAGAGGTGACTGAGACCGAATAGTGGTCCTCACCCAATTGGTGAGAAGCAGGGACTTGAGCTAGAGGGACAAGGGCCCTGGGGTGGAGCGGGTGAAACGGTGGTGTTGCCAGTGACCAGCTTGAGTCCTGGGAGTCGGGGAACCTGCCTCAGTCTGAAGGAGTAAGTGTGAGCAGGACAAGCCTGCTCTGCAGGTTAATGCGAGCTGTACTATGCAAGCCTGAGAGGTTGTATGCACAATTCTAAAAGCTCCTGGCATCTCCTGGAGGCAGGGGTAGCCATCTTGTCTGTTTTACTGAGGAGGATTCAGGGCTTCAGCTCAGTGCCCTCATGACTTTGCTCACATGGCTATCAAGCAACGGAAAGCAGGCTCTGATGCCTGATGGTAGTCCTGACCTTGTTTGGTACCCAATGTTTGTTTAAGGCTGTGCCTTGTGTTCCTAGTTTGTAAATGAGACCAACATTCACAGTCAGTTTCCCCAAGGTAAGTAACAGAGCTAGGATTTAAGTGCAGATATGTGTTTTCTTCTGTCCCAGCACTGCTAATCACCTTGCTCTACCATGTCCCCGAAGATCTTCTGCCTTCTTTTCTCCCAGTCTCTCTTCCCACGGGTCTTGCCCCTGCACCTCCATCCTCCCAGCTCTGGCCTCTGACTCAGAGCCCCATGGAGCATCCCAGGGCCAGGGATGGGCTCAGGGCCTCACCTGATCTCTTGCTGCTGCTGCTGCTGGAGTTTCATGCCCCCAATCAGCCAGCCCACCATCCCAGGGACCACCTGCCTTGAGTTATTCAGACTGTCCAGGAGGCGGATGCTCTGGATTTGGTCCTCTGCTTTGTGCTTCATGAGGCCTTGGGTAATAACTGGAAAGGCACAAAGATACTGTGCAGCATCATGGAAAAGCAGGGGGTGTGAGGTTGGGAAGCCCGAGATGTAGGCAGACTCACTCTCTTCCTGATGAGAGATCCTCCCAGTCTCCACATCCCCCCACCCCCAGCTCCTTGTCTGTAATTATGCTTCCCAAGACTGATGTGTGAAACAAACAAACAAACCAACAAACAAAAAATGCTGCAGAGAGCCTGGCAGGTAACTGTTCTGCATGAGTTCTTTCTGCATTCTTTCTCTGAATATAGAGCCCAGAGCTAATACCCACGATGGGTATTAACACAATAAATTGTTGGTTTCAGACAAAATAGGCAAAATAGGTGACTATGGAAAGAGTGAGTGCAAATCATCCCATGCTTGAATAAAATGCTGGAGCCAAGGCAGCTTCTAGCAGAAAAGAATATCTCTCCTAAAGGAAGGGAATTTTCAAAGCTATAAATATAGTTAAGTCCTGTCTCTCTGCTTCTAGTCCAGCCTGCCCTATTTAACCTTGAAGCTTGCTACAAGGCACATTTATTTTAATAACTTGTGCTATATAGGACCAGATCTCACACTAACAACTCTGAGTAACTGGAGAGCAGCAGAAACCAATGGTGTATCTCTTGTTCTCCCAAGCCATGCTCCAGTCCTCCTTTCAGAACCCCTTGTTTCTGTCACAAATAAGAGAGTGTCTGTAGTCACAAACTTGGGTTCAGATCCTAGCTCCACTGTTTCTGTGGGTCTTATATAACAGGGGTAATAATAACACCCAGCTCATAGGTTCTTGTCAGGACTATTGAGACAAATTATTCAATAAATGCTTATTGAGAATTTACTTTTATGAGACTCTGTCGGGCACTAACAGCATAGAGCAGTTTCCCATCTAATAGGAGACACACATTAAACAAATAGTTTCAAGGATAGAGTGAAACTATAGGGATGTCTAGACCTCTTAGAAATTCTTAATCAGAGATGATAGTACCACCTGGGAGCTTGTGAGTGCTAAACAGAGTTGCCAAGACAATATCCATCCATCCATCCATCCATCCATCCATCCATCCATCCATCCATCCATCCATCTTTGTGTCTACCCACTGGTCCATCTACTCATCTACTCATCCATCCATCCATCCATTCATCCTTATGTCTACCCACCCACCATCTAGATACTCATCTACTCATCTATCCATCCATCCACTTAGCCATCCACTCACCCTCTTCATGGGCATCTATCAATACAACCTGTTCTCAGCTGAACCCTGACTAAATGCAGGCTCTCAAACCTATGATTCAGATAAAGCTACTGATTTTCTGAACCAGTATTTGTGGCTTATCTGTGGGTACTTTCAGATTCAAAGATGACATAAAACCTATATTGGCCCTACCTAGTTAGGCAGAATATCTTATGTTTTATGTTTAGGGGAAAGATTTTTCCTCTTTTATTGAGAAAGTGCAAGACTTCCTGGAACTCTGATGGCCACTGGTCATTATTTTACTATCATGCTGAGAATAAAACTGAGGCCAAAGCTGTAATGATAGCAGAGCTCAGAAATGGACAAATCCAGCCTGAGTGGAAGCTCTGAGATTCCAGTTGAGCACAACCTGAATCTTCTCTTACCCATGTCTGTTAGTCTTGTGAAATGATTTTTTTTTTAATTTATAAAGCTGGTTGAGTTGGGTTTTCTGTTACTTCCAACTAAGTATGCTAACTGACACCTTGAAGGTGAGAGAAATGAAAAATACATTCACAGCTATAGAAGCACTTTGCACACACTGTCCATGTAAGCCACAGAAACAGCCGCATGGACTACCATTCTACTTGTGCCCACTCTAGGGTGATGGCAGTGTGCCACACTTGGGTTCACAGCTCCACACTCATATGTTTGATACCCTAATTGGAACAGGTACATTAATGGCAAATCAAAACATTCTAAGTTTTAATGAAGAAAAATGGAAAAACATCCCTGATCTGAGAAATTCTAAGAAATTTCTTAAAAAAATAGAAATAGTGATTGAGGATATCTTTCCCCAAATGCTTCACAATCACCCTAGATGATTGGATGGCAGAGTTTTACCAAATTCTCATAAGGGAGAAATAGAAAAAGAGAAAGATACGAAATTCATTCTATGAAACTAGTATAACTTGCTTTGCCTGAAGGTCAGTACAAGGACAGAAAGTTACCAATTACTTTTAGCACACGAAGCATGTGGTAAAATTCTAAACTAGGGATGGAGAGTAGAAAGAAATTGGATATGGGTTCCCAGAATTCAGAGAGTAATAGTTAGATCTGGCTTTCTATAGCATAGAAGAGTAACTATTGGTTACAACAGTTTGTGATAGCTTTCAAAATACCTAGAAAAGTAAGTACAAAAGTTCTCAACTCGTAGAAATGATTACTATTTGAGGAGGTGGAGGCACTTATTACTCTGATTTGCTGATTATGCATTGTATATACGTATTGAATTGTCATCCTATGCCTGTAAAGATATATATGTTGGCTCAATAAAAATAATAAAATTTAAAATACATTTTTAGAAATGACTTCCTATTCTAAACTTTTTTCATTAAAATTCTAAATAATTTAGTATGTAATAAAGTTGAATATTACATTGCACTTTATTGCAGAAATGCTAGATTGACTCAAAAGCAGAAAATCTACTAATATGCAATTATCATTTAATGGATTAGAAGAAAATTGATTAATTTTAATCAATTAATCAATTTATATTTAGTAGAGGGACTACATTGTTTTACTGCACAGATCGAACTCGTAGTGATCCTCCTCTTTGCAGCCTCCCAAGTGCTGGGATTACAGCAGGCACCACCACACCCAGTCTCAGTCGCCATCTCAGTGCGCCCCCAGGGGGGTGGGACTGGCACAGCAGACCAGGGATAGAGCCCTGGTTGCTACATCTGATTAACTTTTAGGTACAGAAAAATACTTGTTGAAGGTTAATAGTATTTAGGATTAAGGCAAATTTATAAAACTAAAAATATAAGGAATTTCCTTAATGCAGAAACAAAAAACAAAAAATGCACTATATTCCAAAACCTACAGAAAATATCCTACTTAGTGGGGAAGTCTAGGTACATTTCCTGTTTTTTCTTTTCTTTTCTTTCTGTAATTTAGGGAAGAATCTAGCAGGTGTTCAGGGTCTCACTACTAGATCGGATTTATAGTGATCTGCCTGTTTACAGCTTCCCAAGAGCTGGGATTACAGGTGTGTGCCACCACGCCCAGTCTCAATTGCTGTCTCAGCGCACCCTGGGGGTGGGGCCGACATGGCAGGACTGGGGATCGAACCCCCGGCCCCTGCAACTGCTTGCAGGTGCTTTAATCCGCTGAGCTATTTGGCCAGCCCTAGATACATGTCCTTTAAGGAGGTAAAGGAAAAGTTAAATGAGGTTGTAAGTTTGGCCCTAATCTGATTGGATTTATGTCCGATAGAGGGAGACACCCTGGAGAACTCCTCTGAAGGCCGTGTGAGGGTGTGTGGGGAAGGCAGCCGCTGGTGCAGGTCAGCTAGAGGCCGCCCCAGAACCACCCCTGCCAGCACTCTGAACTTGGACTTCCAGCCTCCACAACTGTGAGAAAATAAATGTCTGTTGTTTAAGCTGCCCGGCCTTGTGGTAGCGCTGGCAGACTAACACACATGGATGCCCTGCAGTGGTGGATACTGTGGGGAGACAGGAATGTCCATTTATTACTTGAGCTAGTGCAGATTGGCTCATCTATTCTAGAGAGGACTTGGAGAGTTTTAGTTAAATCAGGCTTATACTACCACAGGCCCGGCCTTCTGGGACTGTCCCGGAGCACTCCTCCTGTGTGTTCTAACAGGGGCATGTAACATGTTGTGTACAAAGTGTGCCGCGACAGAGACAACCTAAGCATCCATTTCTGGGGTAACGGCTAAGGAAACAGATGGCCCTTATGGACCTCTCTGTGTCAGCTGGAGCAAGATGTCAAGAGCACGTATGGAGCGAGCCGGCAGGACCAGAAGGAGCTACGCATGGCAGTACAATTTTATAAACTAAAACATTGCTTATGAAGCCTTCAGGCATATTTAAATATAGATATTAAAGACACTTCAGTACCTGCCCAGCCCACAGGGGAGTGTGAATGAGAAAAAGAAAGTAACAGGATGAATCTAAAGAGGGACCTTGCAATGATTCCTACTAACAACATTGCTATGAATTATGAAGATCCGAATCTCAATTTTGTGCACTTGAGGTCTAAGAAAAAATAAAGGTAAAGTTAAGGACTGATCCAGGGTCACTCAATAGTCATGCTGGGCCTGCTTTCCCCTCCCCACCCCACGGCCATAGGCTGAGCACAGGATGAGCTTACTCCTTGCCAGGGTGGATTTGCTGTCCAGGTGGGCCTGGGCCAGGCCAGGCCAAGGCTGCTTGTGCAGAGTCAGCAGTGTGAGGAGGACAAGGAGCCTCCAGGGTGAATGCATCTTGGGTTCTGGCACCTGCTGGTGTCAATGGTCAGATGGGCTCTGGGCCGATGGCTGCAAATTGGCTGCTTGGATGGATGGCTTCATGGCTTTCTACAAGAAGATGACACTGGAGTGAGCCCTCAGCACACTGTGGGGAGATGGGACAGTGGGCTGGGACAGCTGTCACCAGAGTTGGCTCACAGGGCAGGCAAGTGGAGACCAGGATAGGAGCTGGGGCTTGTGGAGCTCAGAGGGAGGCCTGGTTGCTTAGAGACGCTCACCAGGGCCCACTGTTGGGTCATCCAAGAGGGGTCCTCTCTGAGACCTGGCTCAGGATGTGTGCAGGTGACTCTTCAGCAAGTGAGTGAGCAAGGGTGGCTGATCCTACACTGTTCAGAGCTTTCTTCATGGGAAGACCAAATTCAATCACTGCCCCCATGCTTTCTTGTCACAAATTAAGGCAATGGGTGTTTTTGAGGGAGACTTCATTAAAATTTTAAGTTTCCTGAGGGCAGAAGATGTGTTTAATTGATTTTTGTGTCTACAGAGTTGCCCATGCCTACCACAGGGCAGGTGCTAATGAGTGTGTGTGGAATGATTGAATGGATGGATGGATGGATGGATGCATAGATCTCATCTTTCTGAATAAGATTTGCAGGAAAGAACAGGTATCCTTGAAGCCAAAATAGCAAGTTTCTCTTGGAAATGTGAGGTTGACAGGGAGAAGTGGTTAAGAGAACTGAGATAAAATCTGCTGGTCTCATTATCTTAAGAGATGGCTCCATGATCCATTCTATGGTACTGGTTCCAGCCCTTGCAGTGGCCTATGACTCCTCTTTTCCCTTCTACCAATTATCTGTCAAGAGCTTCTGTCCACAGGTCCAGACTCTGACCAGGTCTGACTCCTCCTCAGCCACCACTATGGTAGCCTGAATTATTGTAAAGGGTTCTAAGAAGAACCTTAGCAGCTTTTCTTCACAGCCCCATGAAGAAGTATTTGATCCAATGTTTGGTTTTATTTTTCTGTATATACTGGGGATCGAACTCAGGACCTTGTGCTTGCTAGTCAGGCACTTGTGCCACTGAGCTATATCCCCAGACTTATGAGAAAGCATTTGAAGATACAACTCAGACATTGCCACCCTTCTGCCCAGAGCTCTCCATGGTTTCTCCTTGCACACAGAGCAAAAAGTCCAGCCTCGGGGTCCAGCAGGCACCTGTGCTGTCTCAGATCTTGCCTCTTGCCCCTGCTTCCCATTGCCCACTCACTGCACTGCAGCCCCACAGGCCTGGTTCCACAGCTATGCTGCTGTGAGTGCTGAAATAAAGGCTACTATCACTGACCCTGTGCTCTTCTCCTGCGGTTCCAGGGAAAGTGCAGGTCCCACTCAGCAAACGGGTGTCAATGAGCTTTGCAAATGTCACTGAAGCACTGAGCCCTGGCTCACACTTGGCAATCCATCGCACTGTGTAAGGGATCATGCTGAGAGCTTCGTTCAGGGTGCTGCCTTCCTGCTATGTGAGGTCCTGACTCTGCAGTCACACTCGCATTTGGAAATGTTTGTAAAATATCAATTACTTTAAGTGAACTTTTCTAACCCAGGTCTTGTGTAACCAGGTGTGTGTGTGTGTGTGTGTGTGTGTGTGTGTGAAGAAAACTGGAGAAGAGCAGGCACCACTGAGAGGCACTGACTCACTATCTTGGTTCTTTTGGTCACTTGAAGAAGGGGAAGGGGACACTGTCAAGCCCACCCCCTCAGCACTGTGGTTTCAGGGCTCTGGCTTCTCATTACATGAACACCCAGGACTGAGTGGAGACACTCAGGGCTTGATGCATGACACAGGGGATCAAAGCTAGGGGAGCAGGGAGCCCTGCCCAGGGGCAGGCCCTGGATGTGGAGCCGGCATGACGTGGGAATCACATGCTGGGAAGAGCAGGTGCTTTGGGGTCTCTGGGACCAGGGCTTAACTCCTACCTCTGCTTCTTGGGTGATTTAGGGTCTGAGGTTAGGGACAGCTGGAGGAAGGAGGAAGGGAATGTGCTCAGTCACACTCCATAGTCACCCTCTCATTCTCTTCCTTACACACTGGTCCCCAGATGGGCTGATGAGGAATGAGGGTTGCCCCTTGCTAAGCTGCTCTCTAAAGGATGAAGGGCTGCTGTCATTTGGGGGGCTCGTTTCCTGTGCTCGGTCTACTTTATTTTTATTTTATTTTATTTTATTTTATTTTATTTTATTTTTTTGGGGTGGAACCAGGGATTGAACTCAGGCCCTTGTGCTTGCCAGGGAAGCGCTTATTCCACTGAGCCATCTCCCCGGCCCCCAAAATGGCAGAAGTGTTTTTTTGTTTTTTGGTTTTTTTTTTTTTTTTGCTCCGAATGCCTTCAAGGCATGACTGGCTGGCTTGAGTTGTGGGGATTGAACCATAGCAACCTGAGCCTGACGGCTTTGTTGAAGCAGCCTCGGTCTACTTTATATGCAATCTCATTTCACCCTCATGCCCCACAGGTCAGGGGCCTGGGGACACAGGGAGACTCAGAAGCTAAGCAAGCTCCTGACCAGGCCTGGGTCAATTGGCATCTTAACAGGCTTCTCACTGTCACCAGCACTGCCCAGAGCCTGTGTCTTCTGGGCCCTGGCAACCTTAGCTGTCAGCATTTGCCTTTATCACCCATGTGGTTTTTCTTAGATCCAGCTTTGTCAAAAGGTGAAGGAAATTCTGGATTTTTAAATAATGCAACAGACTAACAAATGTCTCTCCCAGTGTCAGCTCTCCATGGGCTTCCTGGCCACCCATGGATGTAGTGCTAACTCCCTGGCCTCCTGCACAATGGGCCCCAGAAGTTTGACCTGGATGCAGTGTACCCATCCTTTCAGCCCATCCTCCTGTCTTTCAGGTCAGTTCTATTGTGCCAAGGGGTAGAGCAGGCCCTGTGGACCAGGGCTAGGGCTAGTCTCTCAGATCAGGTAACATTTGAGCAGAGTTCAGGAGGAGGGCTTAGCCCTAGCCCTGGGCATGAAAACTTGGAACCTATGCCAGGTGGAGAACAGGAAGGGCAAAGGCCCTGAAGAAAGAAGCGGCTAGGAAGGCAGGAGGAGCACAGGAAGCCATGTGGCTGGGGGCACTGGCTGAGATGTCAGCTCCTGTGTACCCAGAGAAGGGGCTGAGCTGCAGGTAGGAGCCCTCCAGGGCCACAGGAGGCAGAAGCTGGCAAGGCTTCTGTGCAGGGCACTCTCCAGTGCCTGATCTGGCTGCTGCTTCTCCTGAGCTCTGAGGCTGCTCTAAGTTCTGAGCCATGGTTGGGGTGGGCAAGGTCCAGGGAATAAATGCAGGTTCCAGACTGCTTCGCAAGGCTGGTGTGAATGTGTGCACATGCACATGTGAGTGTGTGGGTGCGTGCCTGTGTGTTGGGAACAATGGTTCTAGGGAGATGATGTAGGTTTAGCCCATACTTTGAAAATTATTCTTCTAAGGAGGAGAATGCATTACTCCTTTTCCCATTCATTTATTCATTCCTCTGTCTGCATGTGCACTCATGTATTTACAGTGAGGGGTGACTGGAAACTGGAACTTTAAGCCAAAGACAAATTTCCTTCAAGCAGTAAGACCTGGAGGAAGAGGACCCCTTTCTGAATGGAACCTTAGGTCTGACAGAGGATGCTCTTGCTTCCCCCTCTTCAGTGACCTGGACAGGGGAATGCTAAGTAGAAAAGTTAGAGTTTTGGGGTGCATCACAATGCTTTGGGTGAGGGATGGTACTTGAAGAAATCTAGATTCTAGGGCCAGCTCTGAGCAACAAGTTCAAGTCTCCAAAGTGAAACCTGGAGATGAATTTCCTGGTGTTTTTGATGCCCATGATACATGGGACCACTTAGCTGAATTTTTTTTTAAGACAGGGTCTTGCTATGTAGTTCAGGCTGGCTTTGAACTCATTATGTAGTCCAGGCTGGCCTAGAAATTTTGGCAGTCCTCTTGCCTCAGCCTTCTGAGTGCTGGGATTACATGTGTACACCACCATGCTTGGTCTACAATGGTGAAAATGATGCCTGTATAGCTTGGCTACCTCCCTTTGATCCTTCCTTCCTTCCTTCCAGACAGGATCTCACTCTTAGTGCAGGCTGGCCTCGAACTTGCAGTGATTCTCCCAAGTACTAGGATTACAGGTGTCCACTGGCATAGCAGGTGGCTTGGTGACTTCTGATCAGACTCTGAAGCAGGTGAAGTGCTTTATTTGAAATTATCTACTTAATCCCTGACAGTATGGGTACCATTGTTAGCATCTCTCTGCAGAAGCTCAGACCCTGAGTAAAACACTCTAAGACACCCAGCTGGAGAAGAAGTGGTGGACTGGGTCAGGAGACAGCAGCCAGATCTGGGGAAGGGAGGTGAGAGGAGCTGTCATTCATTCCCCACCACCTTTCCCATCCCTCACCCCACTCTGCTCTCCAACACGATGCTTTCTCCCTCGCCAGGCCACCAGCCACACTCATGGCGAGAAGAGGTAGGAATAAAAAAGGCAAACTTGAACTGAGGTCTGACTCTGGGGTCATCCGTCTGCAGGCACACAGTCAGCAAAGGTGGGGTGAGAAGTGAACCCACACTGGCTGGAGGAGGATCTAGCAGATTCTCTCTGTTTCTGGATAAATTCTCTTATAGTTCTTGTGCTTCATCTGGGGCTCTGCAAGTCTGTTTGGTCACTTGTACTTCCTCTCCAGCCCACACAGCCAACACAGGTCACTGAACACTCTGTGGGACATGTGTGGCAATTACTAAAGTTTCCACCAAGCTGGGATTGGTGCAGCAGGTAAGATGAAGACTGCAAGTCTCACCATAACCAGAAGCCTCTGCAACCCCAAGAGGGCAGGAGCCAAGCTCATCGAGCCAGAGATCCAGCCTCCAATGAGTGTCCTCAAGAGGAGGGGGGAAGGCAAGTCACTGATAATGAGTCGGCATTCAGAGTCTCCCGTGCCGTCAACACCAGCTAGAAGGGAAGAGGAAGTGGGTAGGGTTTTTTTTTTCCCCTTAGAACACATGCACCCTCAGCCTGTTTGACTGCTAATTTCATTCTTCACACAACCTGGCTTCTCCACTGAGCCCCTGCCTTTCTCAAAGCAACCGAGGCTTCTCTTTCCTTTTCAGCCTTTGGATCCCAGTCCTCCTCATGCTAATCTTCTCCAGCAGCTGTCACTCAATATTTGCTCACTTTGCATGAGCTGATTCTAAATTCTCATGGTTGCTGAA